TTGTAATGCATTCTTGTTTTATTATGTCTCTAGTTTGTTTTATTTTAATACATTTCACATAGTGCAAAAAAAATTCTTTACATTTTTTACTATGAATGGTAATATTTATTCCGAAAACATTTATATTTTTTAGATTTATTTACAATTTGAACTCGAGGTATTTATTTTAATGGTGTTTTGGGTAATCTACCCCCTCTGTCAGGAATTAATTATCTCACTGTCTAATTCAAAACGAGTAAAATTGTATAGTTAAAATTATAATTAATTAATTTAAGAAAGGATTTTTAATATCCCACTTTTCAGGATTTGTTTGGGAAGATGCACTGTGATATCCACATTGACAGATCTAAAGCGGATGCACTATGAAGACCAATTTATGCATTGTAATTTGTCCTATAAATTTTATTCTAAACTAATCCTATTAGTTTGTGAATTTGTTAATAATACGTCCTGAGTGACTTTGGATGTAATGAGAAAATCTGAGAATGCATTGCATTCAGAACAAGTGCAACGAAAAATATGAGAAATAATTTGCCCATGAGGGATTTGAACCCACATCTGTAGTATATACCGCTCTACCATTTGAGCTAATAGACAACCATTTTTTTAAGGAAATTTTCGTTGTGCACTTGGACCTATGAAATATGCATTTTAAGCTTTGAAAAATAGCATCATTCAACAAATTTTAACTCATATTGAAATGTATTACTAACATTTTTTTTGGACATAAATACACATCTTTTATTAACAATCCCATTGTTCGAAAGAATACACCATCTATAAGCTTCGCAGCATACTAAGAATGCATTATCCTTACCTTGTTTCTTATAATGCATTTTCTTATCATGCAAATGCATTACATGTGTCCTGATAATTCATAATAACACGAACCCTTAGTTGACAAAAACTTAAAAAAATACATAAAATGCAGCTGGCCTAATTCCTTTCTATATAGGCCAAAAATTCAAGGTTCTAAAGCATTATAAAAATTCACAATAGCAAAAATACACCCTCAATTTTTTTTCTTGGCAACACTGAATAAGAATGCATTACCTTGGAAAAGGCAATACTCCTACATACAATATGCACCATACAGACTAACATATGCATAAAGAAAAACAAAAGATGTAAATATTAGAATATTTAATGGAGCAAAGAAAATACATGTACTAAACCAATAAAAAAACATGATTTAACTTATCTAATAATTACAAAGTAATAAAAAATCAATAGGAAAATATGCATTAGACATTTAAGAACAATTTGAAAAAAATTAAATAAAAAATCACAAAAAGGTGGGTAAATAAGTTAAATCATTTTGATGGAGATGACATTTAACCTTACATAATGTAAAAATTAACACAAAATATATTTGTGTAAATCTTGTAATAAAGAGGGAAAGAAGCGATAAACTCAATTACTGCACATCATATGTATAGGATTGTTGCCGCTATCCCTCTCTGTTTCGATTTGGGATTCAGCCACTTTTTCAAGGCCAAGCTCCAACCTCCTTCATGCTCTGCGATCTATCTAGGTCGTCGCTGCTCCGCCCTGTCAAACGATTTCTTATGTTGCTGAAAATAATTGAATTAATTCATCTCAGTAAAAACTAAATTTCCAATTTCATACGTATAAGGAAACCTAACTTTTCATTCCATATAAAAAACTGAAACTTGTGGAATAAAAGATGAAAGGTGAATAATGTTAATTAGAGAGAGATGCCGACACAAGGGAAATACCCAAAGTGACCTTCCGAACTTTGTTGAAAGAGACGCGGAAGTATCTGCAGTGCGGAACAATCAAGATTTGAACAATGAGGTATCACAAAGTTTCTGTACACATTGCGTATATACGTTACAGGACTGCACCTATTTTGATGAACTTGTTGTCTGGGTTTCATTCTAGATGGAGGTGACGGTTGAAGAGAGAAGAGATGAGGAAAATGCTGGGCTAAAAAGGAAAATTGATGAGGTATGATAATAGGTTACTCCCTCCGTTCTCAAAAACATTTCCTCTTTCATTTTTTCCACTTCCAACAAAACACTTCCCCTTTCTATTAAAAAACCACTTTTACCCTTACTTTTTCCTACCCTACCTATCACATCATACTTTTTCTCTAATAATCTATCCATCACATCAGGGGCAAAATTGGAAATCAACTATAATTTAACACTTCCTTATTTTTGCCCCCAAATCAAATGGGAAGGGTTTTTCCAAATGGAGGGAGTATTAAATAGATGAAATAGATATCTTCGGCCATTCGTTTAATTTGTTTTGAACAGGTTGTGCAATATGCAAAAGGTGCAAGGGCCAGAAGGAAGACCAAAACAGCTTTGACGTTGAAGTCACCTTACCTAACACGGATGATTGATCCAAGAGATAATGTGAACACATTTGAGAAGAAATTTTGGAAGTGGGTTGTAAACAAGCAAGATGCTGACAGGTTTATGCTTTAACTTTGGTTAAACAATGCATGATATTAGGAAACTTAAAGTAACATTCTTGATATTGGTTCTATAAAACTTATGCAGGAATGACATTGTGTTTAGTGGGTATAATATATCGGTTGAATGTGGAGACCTTCAGACGTTGGTGTCTGGCCATCACATTTCACCATGAGTAGTGGATGCTTGGTCTTGCCAATTGAATCACAAGGAGCTGTTTCGTAGCGTTGCATCTCCAGCCCATTTTTTTGCGAAAACGATTAGATGTGTATGTTACTTTCTAATAATACACTTAAATCTTCATTTTTTTAATTTCTGTAGTTGCTTGGAGGCATATTATTGTACAATTAATACAATTGCAGATGTTCATGAGTGAGGGGGAGATGGAAGAGGATGCTGATGCTTTTAAGGTGGTTTGTGATGCACCGGAATACGGGTGGAGCTTGACTAATCCATGTGATGTTGATATGGTGAGATTATTGATGTCTGATTTTGAGTACTGCTTGCAATGGTGGTATGTTTATTTGTATTTTATGAATATAATGTTCAAATGCGCAATATGTTCTTAAACGTGTAGATATTGTTCCCAATAATGCAACACCGTTGGTGTTATTGCATATGTGTGAACCTGAAGGGGAATAGTGTTGATATCCTCGACAGCTCATCTGCCTGCATTGCAAAGATTGATAAATATGACAAGAAGCCGAACGTTGTTGTAAGTATAAATTAAGAGCACGTCCCCCAAATGATTAAGGGGGATACATATCTTTTATAATGTATTGAAGCCAATTCTAAAATGTGATGAGAAAAACGTAATTCATTATTGTAATGTTTTAGCATCCCTTTGATTGCAGCGAGACATGGTCATAAAATATTTCAAGAGTAAAGGACTGGATGGCCGGGTCGAGAAACTGAAGGCACAAGAACCAAAACGATTGCAATTGGCGTGGAGAGATTCGACCGCTGTATTTGATTATGGTGTGATTACAATGCGGCACATGGAGACGTACACAGGGCATACATTGAAGCAGTGGGAATGTGGCTTGAAAAAGGGGGATGAGAAGGTGGTGAATGCACTTCGCACAACGTATTGTGCTGCGATAGTCGAATCAGATGCCAACGA